AGAAATGGGGTTCTTCTGTTTCAATCTACCTGACAAGTTGCTCTAAGTACATTTATATTTTACCTTCGTTCCCGAATCCAGTAATGTAATATAATTTTGTACAAAAAAAGGTACTTTTTTTCTCCCAATATCAGTGCACATACTCTCCTCATCATGCCATTTTTGTACTCCTGTAAAGGGTTTTCATATACAGAATTCCACTGTGCAGCTGGTAGGGCACTGTTAGCAGGAATTCAAGCACATCTTTCTTTTCCTCTAATACAGTGTTCCTGTTTGGAAGCCAGAGGCATCCGAGCATGGACCGCTTCTCACCTTGTAGCTCACTCCTGCCTTTCCACTTGGGAAAGGGGATGGCTGCTAAGCGCAAGGACAGTCCGGGATAGTGCCAGGTTTGGGACTGTCCTTCCTCATTTCCATTTGGAGCATCCCAAGCCAGTGCTTTCTTCCCACTCATCCCTGCATCCCCTCCAGCCCCAGCCATCGCTCCTCCACGGCACTTTCCCCTTTGGAGCCAGCGAGGAGCGAGCGCTCCAAGCCCTGGGCAGCTTCAGTGCTGGAGAGCAAGTGGCGAGGCCCCTTCGCCCGCCCCGTCCCCGCGTTGTGGCAGGCAGAGCTGTCGCCTCTGCTGTGCAGTAGCTTCCGTCGCGTGCCTGCTTACTAGAGCCGCTTAGCTGCGTTATTGCTGAAGTTACAAGTGCATCTGAAATGCTGATATTTTTATTACGTGCCATTCGTGTAGCTCCACTGGCACTTGGGCTGCCAGCTTGCAGAATTTTACAGCTGCTGAGTTTCTTGGTTCTTGTTTCTTTTTTAACTTGGAAATAAAGCTGTGATTTTTTTTGGTCAAACTGTGTGGCAAACACGAGGTTTCCAGAAACTGGACTTCCTGATTTTTGTACCGTTGGAGCAAGAAGCTGCAAATATTTATGGTCTGGGTGAGTTATTTCAATTAGTGGGCATGTAGACTGGGTTTTTTTTAGATGCTGTAGTATTTGCATTCATTCATTCACACTGCAAATCCTGTTTAAGCAGAGGGACTCCATCACACTCCGTGTTAAAAGCGCTGCCGTAACGGCGTACGGCGATGCTTCAGCCAGGTAGTTCCGTTAGTAGCTTTGTTGCCTTTTTCTTTTTTTCTTTTGAAGTACAGTGTGAAACTGTAAATACTTCTTGCAGTACTGCCTTTTTAATTCTTAATTACTTTTGGCACAGTGTTAAATAGTGTTGGATTTACCCAATTGCTATGACATATATTTTTATACATAGGTGTACTCTTTTTTCGAGAATAATACAGCAGTTTTGTCATTAATGCCTTTTGAGTGTCATTCTGCTGTTGCTCTTTCTTTGCAAGGTATCAAGTGGACTAATTTCTAGTTCAGATATTTTCCTTTTCCCTGGTTGTGCTCAAGTTTGGATTCAGGTGATTATTTGCCAGATTCCCATTTTTCATGGTTGCTCACTTTCAGAAGAGAAGAATGAGAGTTTGGGGGGTTTTTTGCTTTTACTAATGAAGAAAAGAAAACGTGATAGCATCTAATTGTCTATAAAAGGTCAGTCTTTTCCTACTCCAAACCAGAGTGTATTTGATGGAATTGATGACTATAGATGCTGATTACTTTGTGTAGATGAATGGTCTTTTTTAATAAGAGATTTAAAAAAAAATCCAAAAATGGGCTTCTGTCGTTGTTAGGCATTTGGTTACTTATCTGTTTAAACTCTTAATATTGATGTGAAATTGTGCTGTGGATAAAGTGTATTTTGTACTTCTGGATGTTCTATATTTATGACTAACAAGTACAGAATCAGTTGTGTGTATGTATAACTAATAACTGCCTTTTTAAATTTCATTCAAATAAAAATGTCATGAGCTGTTGTTAATTCTTGCCCTTCTGTAAATAGCCGGGATATGCTGCTGTGAAACATCAAGTAGGAGAAAACCCTGAGTGATGAAAGTCATGCCAAAAATCAGGAGGTCGGGCTTGGCCTCCCCCCTGTCTGTGAGACCTCGGGCAAGTTCCTCCTGCTCTGCAGAGTGGCTGAGCCCTGAAGTTCCCATTCCACCTTTCGGATACAAGGGCTGTCCAGAGCAAGAGGAATGGCAGCTCGAGAACTCAACTCCTAACAGAAGTTCCCAAAAAGCATCCATCGCCCACCCTGTTCTGCTCATCACGCTGCAGTGCGTGAGTCGCTATCTCTGTTGCATAGCGCTCATCCCCACACACATGGTTGAAAATTCATTTATGGTCTGTGGCAATTTATGTTCACTTTCTGAGGCAGCAGCACAGTGGTTCCTTTGTCCACCACTTAGTCTCATTGCACAAATGGAAAAAAGATGCAAGTTTTCTTCCCACAAATATTTTGGTGACCTTTCCACGTTCTCGTATGTAAAGTGCATTTGCTTTTCAGAGTGACTCTTCATGTACTTAAACTGAATTTCTGTGTCTACTGGTGCTTGATAGTAAATCCAAAAGGCTGGAGCCTGGACTGCTGCAGGAGCTGACAGCACCGTGCTGCAGGGCGCGCGTTCCTGGTGCGAGGTAGGTGGTGTTCATTTGCACTGCTTTGCTAGGAAAATTAAACAAACTGATGTGTTTTTGTTTGTGTGTGTGTGTTTTGTTTGTTTGTGGTGTTGCTGTGTGTGTGTGTGTGTTTGTTTTTTGCAAATGTTTTTGGAAATACCAATTTTTGCAAATGGTCATGCCCCAAACCTTAAGCTCCATTTTGGAACTGTGGCATGTCTACACTGTTTGAGTCCTTCAACACTTGTATTTATGCATTTTCATAGGTTTTGCGTTGCTTTTGAAGACCATTATCCAGACAGGAGTGCACAAAGCAGGTGGACAGATGCTGAGCAAAATATGTTGTGGTCGGGCTGGGTCAGGACCCCTCCAAGCACTCCTTTCTCATTTGTACTCATTACCTTGTGCTCTTAGGTGGTAAATCAAGGATACTTCTGGGCAACGGAATGACAGCTGGGTGTGGAAGTGCTGGGAACTATTAATTTT